AGGTTCTTCAGCATCCACCGTACTCTCCGGATCTTGCACCAACCGACTACCACCTTTCCGCTCTGTCAAACCAAATGAGGAGTGTTACCTTCGGTGGCGAAGAGGTTCTTGAAAACTGGCTCAACAACTTCTTCGACACCAGACCGGCCGATTTTTGGCGAAACGGCATCAACGAATTGGTCGAGAGATTGGAGGAGGTCGCAAACAGTAACAGGAGGATACATAATTGATTAATTTATTATTATAATTATTGTTTTTTGTTAAAATAAATCTCTGCGAAAAAACTCTACGAACTTATGTTACAACCCAATATTATTATTTTTAGGAAAGCGGCGACGATGCTTCCGATGACGATGTTGATGTATGCGTCTTCCAACTTTATTCATCTCGTTTACAATTGACTGAGGTATAACCACTGATTTAGATGCCTCATCAAGAAACCGAATCAACATCCCACTTATCGGAGGGACGTGATGTTGATCCGAAAAAGAAGGCCGAAATGATCAGTTCTAACAGAATACTTACTCAGGTATAACTTTTCTTGTTGCTCTCTTTCTTTCTTGGTTGCATATCAAAGGGGCTCACTTTTAGGAAGAATTCAAACAAATTCGAATATACCAGTTGAAGAAAAAACTCATCGGAGAAAAACGTCTGAAAAAGCAATTGGGAAGTGCGAGGAAGAACGATGACGTGAAATTGATTGAAGAGTTAGGCGAAAGAATGGAAAGGTACGGAGCTATGGAAACTCATTTTGCACGATTTCTGGCCTATCTACATCACCTTGTGCGGAAAGGCATCTGCTTTATTTTTTCCCCACCCCAAATTCATATATAGCCACATTAGTAGACGCGCTAAGAGCCGTGTTCATGATTGGCGTGCTGAAGTAATTGCGTGCAGAGGCTGCTGAAATAAGTTTTCAATGAAGGCTTATCAGAGCGTTGAGCGCATCAGGCGAATGGACGCCATTGAGCGGAGGAACTGCCCGCCTTCACGAAGGAAACCCTTCAAAAGCATTTCAGGACTTGTTATTCAGTTATGAACCCCATTTGATCCACAGTTGCTTCTTTTTCTATAATTCTAGACGCGGGGACGGTGATGGTTTGCCACGATTGAAGGATATTGAGCAGTTCCATAAAAAGCGTAAACAGACGAAGGAAGAACGATTAGCGAATATAAAGGAGGGCCACGATGAGAACCAGAAATTCGGTCGACCCAAGAAAACGGTTAGCTTTTTGGGAACTTAACTTTAAATTAAAGTTTTCCATTTCATAATTTTATTGAGCTTATTCATATTGAGCTGTTTCAGGGCCCTCATGTAGGGAGAACTAATCGCGAATTAGCCAAGAAGAAGGTATTCAGTATGGTAAAGGCAAAGGTGGGTTCTTATTGTATTCTGAGTTCTTTAGTAAAACATATTTATTGATGTTTTTCATTGCTTATCTTCTGGATGCTTTTGACTTTTTGTAGGTTCGGGGGAAGAACCGTCAACGTTCTTTCCGAGATCAACAGAAGAGTCTTCGTAATTATCTCCTCCGGCAAAGCGGTCGTAAACCCCAATGATCCCAGCACATGCCCCATGAAGAGTGTTGTTAGCATTGTTGAAGTTGGCACAATATTTTTGTCCGTTATTGTTGCAGCTTTTACAAATAAAATAATTATGACTTACCTGCCATCGCATTAGATATTGAACATTAGCAGTTAGATTTCGATTACATATCTAGCCTAGCATGGGTCGTCGTGGTGGATCTTTGATCGAGATCTAGCTTTCAAGAGGGCAACGAAGTTCGCGAGTGTTTCGCCCAGAGATGAGAGATCAAATTGGTCTAGTCGAAAAAAGGATTGCTGTAAGGATTCAGAAAAGGCGTGGCTGGCCAATTTTTCAAGACTATGAAGAAAAAGTTCGCACAGTTTTAGCATGCCCGGAATTCCATTCCACAGTCAATCCTCACCAACCCTTCGATCTAATGGGTCGTAGATGTAAAGCTATGAGTGATTCAAAAGTCATGGCGACGAAAGATCAAAAATGTGCTAGTTGTGATGTTAGTTACTATTACTTTTCAACAAATCGAGTTGTTCTTTCAGCTTATTGTACTTTCATTATGTATGAATGATGTAAATGTAAGCCACTTCCACATGCTTGCAAGAGATTGTGCAAAAAAATGATGATTTAAAATTCCGATAATACTCTACGGATACGCTGAAGCGCTGCTTAAGTTGTCTGCATATTTCCATCTCTTTCCGTCCTCGTACTTCCAAGCCATTTTCCTTACGCCACCGAGGTATAAGGCTTTTTACCTAGACATCTCCACACAAATGTCAGCAAAGCCTAAACTCGGGCGCTACTTCAGAAGTTTATTGACTTCTATTGCGGATTTGCCAACAGTTGTTCTTGTTCATTTGACCCCTGAAGGGTCAAATCCACTATCGCGTCTGATCAAGAATCTTCGATTTTTGGGCATATATTTATTAGTATTGATATTGATATGAAGTAGTAAAGATAAAGACCACAATAATGATAAGCAGTTCGGCATATCGACATCGTCGGTACGAGATTATACAACATAACTCCACAAGAACGCCCTGTTTCGTTTCAGAGAGTGGGGAATACATTGATAAATACATACGTACACAAACAAAATTATCATGCATAGGCACCAACAGCTTTCGAGCAATTTGTAGAACAACATAGCAATGAAATAGAAACATAGAGATGGTTGCGCGATTGCGTTATGGAGATTGACATGAGTGAAGATCAGCCTCTTCGCAATGAATCCAGTACGTGCAGCGCCAATTTCCAAAAATAGTTCAACTGTTTTTAATGGTCACTGGACCAATGAGAGGATGAAGTGAGTGGCTACTAAGTGAGTGGTCCCTATCAGGCTACTAGCCAAGGATATTGATCTACAAAGCCAGTGAATTTAGTACTCAGGTACTGCTCTGCTCCTAACCTCCTACATAGTCAGGGAAAACAGAGAAACTGAATGAAGAAACAGGACCAGAAGGTTTCCGAAGTTACACGAATGAATACAAAGAAATCACATAAAAATTTCAAGACAACCATTTGAGGAAAGGGATTGTGTGGGCAGTTTGAGTCCATTAATTGACGACAGCGTGTGCTGGCAAAGCTTCCGGTTCATCGTCCTTTGCAGGGTTATCTTCAAGAAGGCAGTTAGGGTTTTCTCTGAGATACTAATACCGAATAAAGATTGCTTACTCTGAAGAGGATCTGGAATTTTGGCCTCCTTCCTTAGTTCTTCAATCACTTCAGTCGTGGTTCGAAAAACTTTTCCTGGACGGAACGTCAAATGACGGGAGAAGAAGCCCAGCTTAATAAGCATCTTTAAAGTAGCACAGAAACACTGCCACCCTCATTCGAATTCTACGAACTCTGCGACGCCCTACTAGTTCCAGCAGACTGCTTTCATAGTCCGCCGGCGTGCCAGCCGAGCTACTGCTACGAGGGGAGAGGGAGGCAGACGGTCGGCCGACGCAGTCGCGTCACGCCCAAGCCCCTTCGAAGGGCTGAAAACAAAGAAAAACAAGATCAAAAATTTCATTTGCCCTTCGGAGGGACTTATGCAAATGGCTGGCACGCCGGCACGCCAGCGGACTATGAAAGCAGCCACAGACTACTTTCAATATCACCACCTCATATACTGATACGCTACAATACCACATTAAGCTAGAACGCGAAATGAAATACGAAGGAGGCTTTTGAAAAGCCTTCCGTGTTTAGGTTACGAAAACGAATGGTTTAATAAGAAACCTCGCTTATGGGATACAGTATGTGCATGTGTAAATGATTGACGGTGATCAACGGTGGCCAGTGGAATCCAACTCGAAGCATATCTTCTACAGTATCCGCTTCTCCTTTTGCTTTCAACTCTGCTCGAAGATACTCTCGGCCCGTCTTTTCCATATCGACCACTGAAATTGAAGCAGGTACACTACCACAAAATTAATGTACTAGGGCATTTCACCACGACATTTAATCTTCGGCGAGAAGAAAAACCAACGTAGCGGAATGTCAGCTGCAGTGAGATCTGTCGGTTTGTTGATGTGAGCTTTGCTGACGGCAAGGAAATGATGCGGTGTTTTCGGTTTAATGTCCCGAATAATAACGCACTAAAACAAAACATTGAACGAACATTCTTTACAACTCAAACAGAAGGAGTGGACTGTCCTTAAAGATCTGTTTTCCCATTTTGTTTGCTCTAATTATGATGAAGAATGAGTCAGTTCCAATTGTTTTTTTTTTGTTGTCTTCCTTCAAATAAATGGGTGCTCAAGAGATGTGCTATTGCTACGGTCTGGTGCTCATGAGATTTTGTTTCTATATAATCTATGCTGTAAATTTTCGTTGATCTTTCACATTCTCAAGAAAGACTGCTTCACGTTCATGGACTATCGATAATATCAGTGAAAGATGTAAACAATAAACTAGAAAAGCTGAAAATATTTGCAATTCGAAGCCATCTCGCGCCAAAACGTATAGAACTTTTTCTGTAAAAATCGATTCCCTTGTTTAGGGCAGTGATCTTCGTCCTTCCGTGTCAAACAGGGGAGCTCACAAAGTTAGATGCAACCCTTCTTTCCTAAATCTCTTTTTCATGACGGTGAAGTAACGTACGTCACTCGCCAATCGACACTAAAATATGATTTGGACGTCAGTGAGCCCAGGAATTCGGTCAATCTTCCATTCTAAGTGGATTTTATGGCGAGACTTCATCTTCTTTCCAGAACCAGATTAACTTCCTGCAACTGCCTGTTCTCTGGCCCTCTAAGTCCTGAAGTCAAGTGCATTTTTTTTTGTAAATCATTTTTCAATATGAATGAATATGACCAAAACAAGCTTGCAGTAAAATAAAGCAAAGTCACGAACAACTGAGATATTGGGAAGTAGCCGACCCCTTTCACTATACATCAGCTGCTACCGTTCCACCAAAGAGACAGCTTTCAAAGTTTAGTGAATCATCTGCTCTGCTGACGCAGCTTTGAATTGTGCGCAATGCCGCCGCATTATAAAAAAAGATACCGACTAGAGCGACCGATAATTGAAGGTTTGGAACTGCTCAATGTAAATTGGAAAGACTTTTGGGAGGAGAGGTTAAATAGCCCAACCTTTTCTGACTCTCTAAGATGCAAATCCTTCTTGTAGTTAGCTATGTCGCAAAACTTGCATCCAGACACGGCTGTCGTCATCTGTAAATACGAAGCATTTATCGACAATGCAAAACGGCAATACTAGTATGAATATAAATGTCCTCATCATATCCGCAATTACATGGAAAACACAGAAAGGCAAAATAGGCGATACACTTTACTACAAAGTAGAGTGCGAATTAAGATGGCTGATAAAATCTTGGCAAAGAAGTAATGAGCTCATTTCAGGAACCCGTCGCATCTAGTAACGATGCAGTAAGAATGAAAGCCAAGAAAAATTACAATTGAAATAGAAGAAATAATTTGATATCAATAAAGCCATAGGTCAAGATAGAAGTATACTGCGATTCAGTGGCAGCGGTGATCCGGAAAGGAGCTTTGCACAATTTTGTGAGCCACAACCTGCTCTTCTAACAAAGCAGCCAACACTCACTAAAGTATTGGGTGAAGGCAGTAAAACCTGTCATAAAGAAAGCCCAAACGATCAACTTTGGAAACGATGGGCAACCCTCCATCCCGGGTACGATATGTCGCTCGTTATGAAAAACCTATATGAGTGACTCTGGGCTCATAACGATAACGGCAAACTCCAATCCAAACGACAAAAGGCCAAGTTGGCCTCTGGCAGAAAAATGCACTAGAGGATGGTTTATATTCTCCATTTACATACAAGACAATATTTTTAAAAAACCCAGGAATACTCAAGGGTGGATACCGGAAAGAATTGGAAATAAGACACTCCCTTGCGGCATACAACTAGGAAAAAGCCTAGACATAGGATAGCGCCCAATGACAACCATTTGAAAAGCCCTTCAAGTAAATGCCAGTTCACTGTTTTGAGATGTATAGCAGCTTCCTTAAGTCTGACCAGTAGAGTGCTGTCCGCAATGATTTGAAAACAAAAGGAAAATAAAACGTATGTAAAAAGGAAATCCGGCAAAATAACCTACACGAGGTGTGGGTTCCGGAGAGGAACAGCAGCCACAGCACCACTTCATTTTACCCCTCAACTGACGTCTGACGTGGCAGTTCGCCGACGCTCAGGTCGTTTCATATATATATGTATAGACACGTGCCCAGCGGCTGTCTTATGAAAAATACTTTGCACAGACAGTCTTAATCAATTGTGAAATGGAGTTGGAAACTCGTTCTTGGGTCGTTATATGTGTAAAGTAATATTTTGCAATATGTCCTTACCACATATTTCATTTACTGCAGGCGGATACAAAAGGATTTTAATTTTATGCTACTTTTACACTCACCGAGCTAAGGATGCAAGAGCTCTACCCACTTAAAAAATGTCTTATAAAATTTTGTTCCAACAAAATGTGCTACCATAATACCGTGGATCTGGCAACCATGTCTATAGAAGTACTTAGATTTCGTTCATAACTACGAAAATCATGAAATAGTGGAACCAAAGAAGCATGGAGAAGAGAATATCGGCCCTACAAAATCAAAAGAACCGAAGCAGAACAAATAAACTCTCGAAAACCAGGTAATCAACCAAAACTAATACTTAGTCACTGATCCAAAAAAAGAACTATTCTCAGTAGTGACGTTCATACGAACAGCACACCTGATGGAGGCGCTTCTGACGTGAGGGCAGCCCACAACGGCTCAGTAAACTTTCGCTTTCGATTCCGGCATCTTTCGAAAGCATTTCGAACGCGGACGAGTTTTTTCAGTTTCTGGAGCGATTCTAATAAATCCTAAGAAATCGAAGCCTACGCGAACATGTCATTGAAAAATACCGAGCAACATTGAAGCACGGCCCAAACATAACTGTAATTAAAGGACTTAAATGCCACTTTTTCAGCTAATATCTACATAAGTGTATGCATAGAATAACTCGACCAGATGTTCCGGAACGGATAATCGTATTTAGTCGTACCATTATTCCTTGATCAACAATGGGAAAAAGCAAGACCTAATCTCTTTTCGATTTCCATTTGTTGTCTGCAAGCGGCTGTCTTGGTAAACAATTTTGCTCTCAGGTCTAAATGGACAACACGAATCGAATCGTCTCGATAATATGTACACACATAGAATATTGATGTAGAAATAGAGGTGTGACAATGGCTACACCACAATGCTGTATTGAACATTCTAGAGCTTAGCAACAGTTGTTGTCAACCATCTGACTCACTCTGATCAATATGGGACTCCACTCGGGTTCGGAATTTCCGAAAGAGAGGAAACTACCATTCTCATTTCAATTCGTGAATATAGAAACTATCATGGCCAGTCTGCATAAGACCCTCCCCAAACCAGAATAAACAGTCTGATTGTATTCCTACACGTGATAGATGCGTGTCAACCAGGTATGGTGGCTATCGGTCAAACAATTAAGAACATCGAAAATGATGAACGACAGCAGCAAGCGAGAACTGGTACATGCAATATGTAACTACGTAGTGAAGATGTTACATGTCTCATCCGTGCCCGTTGATGATTCTGCCAACGAGGTTGCCTAAGCAGCTGGAGAATGATGATCCCTGGCTTAGTTGGGCATGGAAAATCGACGTCCGTCACATGCGGTGACAGCAAATAAACCACTGACGGGAAAGTTACAACAGACGCTACCAACGGGACGTAAACAACACTAACAATCTCCCTCCAATTCCTTCGAAAAAAATTCTAACGAGCTAAGAAAATATATTGAAAGGAACCAGCACGTTTTGTACAAGTTAAACAAATCAAAGTAATTCTTGAGAAGTGTAACGTCAAGGAAAAGACCGAGAAAAAAAAGCAGTTCCATTGGCTTCTTTTACATAAAGCGTAGTCTCCTGACGAGCAAGGAAAGAATGCCTGGAGTGACTAACTTCAATACTTGTCGTCCCGAATTACATCACCAAGAAGAGTCATTCCCATATGCAGATCAAACACATTCAAAGCACTCTCTTAGTCGAGAGGAATAACTAATCGACAGCTGCACATGATGGCTGGATTGATGGCCAAATGGCCAAACATCAAAACTAGGGAGTGTACGACGACTTTGGTGATTCGCTCGAATGTAAGCTAGTCCTGTATCCTTGAGAACCTCTTTTCTGATTCCAGACTCTTATCATAGTTCTGCTTCCGCTACCAGTTATCAAGTAGAGAAACATCTCTCCTTGGAAAACTAAGCAATTATCTGATTGAAAGTAATTATACAACAAACTGGAACAAATTTTAACAACCAGACGCAATGAACGTGACCGAAATAATACTGATATGAAAAAACTATCAGTTAAGCAAACACTCAATAAGGTAAAAGATTAAATTTGATCGGTAAACATCAGTAAGTGAATAGTACCAACAGTATAAAAATTCTGTAAGTGTGACCACCTTAGCATGGAGGTAAGCAGCCCACATCAAGCGAGCCTTTACTAAAAAGCGATAGCAGAAAAAGACAAACAAAGAAGGATAAACAAGATCTCAACTTTCTAAGGTCGCTAAACTTTTCAAAATTGTTTTAAGGCTTTCTATTCTAGTAAAATAATGCAGTTTAGAGCAGTCATGGAAAAATGAATAGGATTGAACAATAAAGCCGTAATGACGAATGAAACTTGTTCGTAAAAGATTTTGCATATGATTCATTTCGTATTCAATGAAACGCACAGTCATAATGCTCATGTCACCCACTCGGGAGTTGAACAGTTCACGGGGAACATCCACCCTTTCGATCTTGTACATGTATGACTCATATTATGATAAATGGGCTGATCCCAAGGCAAATCTGCCTCCATTCGAACATTCAAAGTCATATAAAATCTTCACGGTCTTGAGTAAATCAAAATAAAGGCTACGGTGAGGAATGCTGTCAATAAGAAGACACTCGTCAGACAGGAAGGAAAAGCAAATGAGAGTCAAAGAAACGATGCACCTGATGCGATAAGATAGTAAGCCTAACAGATTCAAACAGAGGGTAACATTCAGTGAAGAAAAAATGTGTTCGAGACTCTTGGAATGGAATGAGAGAAATTGCAAAAAAAAGTGTAGATAACAACCAATTAGTATCTCCCTTCCGATTCGCTAATGTAGTGAAACCCTACGTAGAGTGGAACATTGCTCAAGCTATTCTCACAAGCAAATTGCGGAAGCCGGTAAAAACAACGCGAAAATGCAGAAAAATATTGTTACCTATATCGAACCATTCCGATCCTTAAGAATCCCTCCCCCTCCCTCTCTTCTAAAAACCAAAAGGCTTTCCATACGGTATGGACTCATTTCGTCTCCACAGACTATGCTGTGACACAGACTACGAATTATGTACAGAGCAGACTACTAGATTATATGAATGAAAATTTAGGTCAGTAAAAGATGTGCATGGCTCACATGAATTGCGATCATAGCAAAATATCGAAGTCGTTTCTAGGAAAAATCATTAGGGGGATATGCGATGAATTATTACCGGTGGTTGCGCATCGCGACCGCTCGCGGTTAAGACCAGCACTTCACAAACCTGCTAAGGTTGAGTTGTAATAGAATAAACTCCACGAGTATCGAAAGTGCACTGTTGACTGCATATCACAAGGACTACTTGGCAGCGATCGCGGGAGCCGATAACACGACCACATCGGTTGGCCCCGAACAGCGAACGGCCAGGAAAGGCCGCATGTCAAAGCAATCTCTGCCAGCTGTTCAACCAAAAAATCTCTAGCCCGTTGCTAGCGGTTACATGGGGCTTATTCAGCATAATAAACGACTGAATGAGTTTGGAAATGAGTAAATAACATCGCCAGGCATCAAGACCTACAACAAAATGGGAGCGGGAATTTTTCGAAATTTTCACACACAACTGGAGAGGCGGAATAATAACCAGCTTGTTTTTCACCGAATGTTGAATTGCGGCAATCGCTGAAATAATTGACATGAAATGATAGTATTCGTGCAATACATTCATGGGAGAGAGCGGAGAGAATGAGGACGAAACCAGCTGTGGGCAGGGAAAGATCGATGCCACCACCCACTGCCGGACATGAACCATAGGGCATACACACATCGCGGTCTCTGACCTTCTCACCAATGACCTTCGAGGGAGTTTCGCGTAGAACACTTTGCTCTACCACATTGGTCACACGTTTTCTTTGAAGAAAGAAAACATGTTGATATTGATTCATCGGTTCAAAATAAATATCAAATTCCTAGATGAAACACTCTACGGACGACTCAGATGAAGAGACAAGCACGATCCTTCTCCCAACTCACAAACTCCGTTCAGTCATGGTAAACATGTAAGGGCTATCGGGACAATAACAGGAACTAGATGGCTGTTATTGAACCAGCCAAACAAGAACAGTTATACCGCGGACTTTCGTGCTCTGGGAGTCTGTCTGTCCCATCCCCCAGTCACGGATCGGTCAGCCCATACCGGACCATGGAAATTGATTAAAATGGACGTTAGTGAACCCGATTCACGCCGAAAACTACTGACAGTTTCCATTGTCAGGCATGACACCTGTTCAATCCGATAGAGCCTATTATGGTTCTCCAAATAAGTACAAACCTGAAGATTCCAAGCGGATTTTCAAAAGGTTCGCCATCAACATTTGGCACAACTGCTAGTTTCAATAACTCTGAGGGTAACAGTCAAAAAACAGCATGCTCAAATGCATGACAACTTTTGTGGAATAGTAGGGCTCTGTATGGCTGATATCCATCGAGCCCTGTAGATTACTTTGATAAAAATAACTCAATCAGCATAACAGCTAATCCCGTTCACAATCAACGAAGCTCAACATCCAAAAAAAGACACTAATGTACAATTGAAACATCCAAGCATTAAGCGTAACCCTGTACAAGCGGTGGACCCTCTTGGTGTACTCTCGGTACGATTCGAGGCGGAAATTAACGCATAAATTCATTTTACAAACTCACATAACACAGGAACACACCCTTCATCTCATCGTTGTTTAACTACAGTATCCGACATGATAGATCACACTTAACACACAAACGCGGTACACAACATGACCCCATACTATGAATGGTGCTGTAGCAAACAACTGATATCCTTCAATGAAACAAGCATACCTGGACAGTAGCAAAACAATACTTAGACCGCCAAAAAGCCACTAATTTTTTCCAACCAACAGTAAACTAGAGCTCAACCTTCACTACCTTCTCGTAAAATACACACGGAGTAAATTATGAAAATACCATAACAACGAAACAACGATCAAATTCATCTCAACCAACAAGATAGCCTGAAATTGAAAAAATTACTTGTAACTGTATGAGAAGCCCACCAATAGTTAGAAAAAGTAGAGCTAATCTTGCATCACATTTAAATTTTACAGACGACACTGCCCAAAATCACACCGTCCTACTCACCAACGCTGACAAAACAAATGAAAATGAACAAAACGGATGACAAATGGAAATTTTGAGACATATCCGTACTCGTTTGGATCAAAGAAAACAACGTTATAACTAGAATACAATATCTTTAACAGAGAAAAAGCTTGTTATCCACTGAGATCGTTATGGTCAAACATAGCCTGGTCGTATATCTCCGCCGAGACTGTATTTCCGCTGAAGAAACGTTTGTCAAGAGCTGCACGTGCTGCATCAACCTAAACAACACTAATAATATGATGAATTTTTAGATCAGTATACGGAATTTTGAAAAACCGTACCTGTTTAGGATCTGCGAAGCGGACGAAAATTTTCACAATCCTGGCAGTTTGATCATTCGCAATTACGACCTAGAAGGCATATTTCATTAGGATGGTCAACAAATGATGATCACTCACAAAAGAGCACTCCGTAAAATCACCACCACTACCATTCACCGAGCGAACTAGTTTCGAGGTTTTGATATATAAGTTGTTAATCTCTGTTTCCGCGTCACCACTGGTGACGATCTTCACAAAGGCAAAGAAGTAATGGAATCTCAAGTCCGTACTATGTAAGGAAATTTGCAATTATTCTCTGAACAACAGAACTTTGCAGACGAACATCCTGTATAAACTGAGCAGCGCGCCCTTCCTTTACGAAAGTAGATCTTTCGAAAGTAAATCTTTCGAGAGGTTTTCTCAAAAGAGGTCCAATTATTCACTGAAAACAGAAAAAAGAAGGGCCGATTACCGCTATACCGTCTCTTGTTGACATAAATGACTTCTATATCACTGATGTATAGAATGACCAAGAACAATCACATGTACGGATAAAAAAACTGGCTTCAAAGTACATCAAATTAACCCTATTGCACAAACTATTGGAATGTCAAAAGCAGTTTAGGAAATAGATTCTAATTTCGTATCCAGAATTCTAAATAGTTTACAATTTTAAGTTTTTCACGCCAATCAAACACTGTAAGTAAATTCTCTCCATCCTATTTTGCGCCCTTATCTATCAACTAGGCAGGAGAGCGGTTTCTTTGGACCAGGCCGGTTGCTGATTGGCTTCCTCGGGACGTCAAACGAACATAAGGACAGCTACCAGAACAATGGTCAGACTTCTTCACGAGCTCTAAACGAAAGGAATGCTATGCTCTGTGTTCCTAAAGCGAGGATGATTCAGTGGACCACTCCGGCTTGCGACACAGACGAACGGCTCGTTACCAGCGACGACTCAGCGACGTTACCGGCGGTCGCTCGAACAAATTGATGAACAGGTGGACCGATTATACATACCTACATTGTTGCTAGAACAGTAATCCAAAAGAATGATGGTGGAGAGACATGATCCAAGGTGAGTGGGCTCTTTCTGTCCAATGACGAAAATAATGGAAGATTATAGAGGAAAAATGCTCAAAGGGACACAAAATCGCCTCAAACAATCAGTCTTTATCGGTCAATCTAAGAAATGCAATTACCAATCACACCAGCCACCCTTCTAAAACTGCAAAAAAGAAGGACTTTACCTCCTGCACATCTCCATATTTTGAGCACTCCTCCTTAATTTCATCTTCAAGGTATTCATCGATATCTTCCGGATTCACCTAAACATATCTTTTCGAATATTCGCACAAGAAAAAAAAAAACAAAGAAATCCTATTATGTGTAGTTCGCTCATGTATAACTGCTTGCACGACAGCACAAATTTCACTCACCATGTTACGCAAAACCAGGACGGTGGACCGATTTGTTCGCATGAGTTTCGCCATCAGGAGATGACGAGCATCATTTCCTCTGTAATGTGATTGTTTACCTGCTGTAGACTGCAAAAGGTCAATGATGTGATTAACCTGATGGCTAGTCCTTCTTGCGATGCTAAAGTTGCATCCTCGCTATTCATTTGCTCATTAATTACAGCATCAGAAAGTTCACCGGCCTTGGCTGCAGCGGCCAACGCTTGTGCAGTATTTAGCTAAAATCATTATAGCCTATCTATTAAAGTATGAGAATATGCTCCAACGTAGGACCAGGAAGTGTCTCGAGTGAAATATATGGAAAGCAACCTTAGGTTGTATCTTCTTCGCCTCTACGACTCGTTTCTTCTTCTTTTGAGGCTCACTTGTATCATTCTGCCCAGCAGCCTAAAATGTGAATCTTTTGTAATCTGGTACATTTTCAAAGGATTGGGGAGGAGTTCCATTTGAGGCGCTTGCTGAAGTGAATGTGCCTTCCTTCGACAAGCTTTTAAAGAAAACCCTGCACCCATACCAACAACGACCACATCGTTTTCAAAATAAAACAAAAAAAANAAAAAAAATACAGTTTATAAAAAGTTTGGTTATTTTTCGAAAAACGAGGTTGTGGTGTCCTAAGCACTTATCCAATTGGCGAGATGCATGAAACGAAAAATACCTTGTTGCCTTTCACAGCCAAGGCGTTATCACCGATCAATGCCAACGCCATACTCTGAACGTCTTGGTTAGATTTTCCCGTGATAGCGAGCATATCTGTAAAAACAGAGGAAAGCTGAGCTGCAATAAAATTCGAAAGAATACCTAAGGAATATGAACACAATTACCACCCGACTCTTCATTTTTTTCAAGTGGATCTTTAGGCGCAAACAGAGGATCAATTGCCCCAAAAGTCACAGGTAGGGCGAGCTTTGCATCTTGTTTCGCTTTCGTTCGTTCTAATATCCGCTCCATCTGAAAGATCATTTGTTAAAACTATACACAAATTGAGCAGCTCTCTTTAACTTAAAATAGTCACTCGAAAAAGTAACCTTTTTGAGCACAGACAAATTGTAAAAAAACGTACTTTTTCTTCAAATGAGCGCTCTCCTTTGGGCGCTGAGCTCGGGGCAGCAGCAGGAGGAGGAGGTGGTGGCATCATTTGAGGTGGAGGAACACCAGGAAGAAGGCCTGCTGGTGGAGGCACACTTGTAGGTGGTACAGGAGCAGTTGGTTGAACGAACCCACCAAACCCTTGATGGAGGGTAGGAGGAGGGACAGGAGGCTACAAAGAAAATAATAGAAAAAGAGTGTGACAAAAATTTCAGCAGAGAAATTTTACAGAACAAGCATACCACGCTTACTGGTGGAGCAGATGGAGGAGCTACTGGATAACCATTCATCGGCGGTGGAGGCACGCCGTATCCATACTGCATGTGTGGGGCTGCCGAAGCCACAGGAGGCTGAACGGTCAAATATTTCACAAAAGTGAAGCCGGAAAACTATAATTAATCAGAAGGGGAACATTAAAATCTTGGTAACAACAAACTAACAGTGTACAGTTGCGGTTTAGCTATTGCTACGGGTGGAGGTGGTACAGCTAGGGAAGGTGGCGCTAGAGTTGGATTCACAATTGTTGGTGGAGGGGCTGTGACCACTGGGGCCGCCACAGAAAATGTTGTCATAGACGATTGCAAGGCAGTAGCCGGACTCATCGGCCGAGGAGAATTGGATCCGGACCCTTGACTTGTTTTCGCAGCCTAAAAAGCATTTGAATATATGAATACCAGCAAAAGCTTGAGCACCACATTAATCAGTGGCTAAAATATGCGATCAATACACGTTCCGAAAAAAAGGGCGCAATCGGCGAAAAACTCACCCCCGTCGCTTCAGCCGCCATTACTTTTGCAGTTACAGCAGCTGCAGCTTGGGCAGCAGCAGTAGGTAAAGCAGCTTGTGTCTGCGGCTGCAGATACGTTAGAGCTTCCGGCGGTGTTATACAGCGGCCAACCTTAACATAAGTTGTAATGCTATTACAATAACACCCTGGACCTCTGCAACATAGATTTTAGCTCAACTTGACTTATTCAACGTAGTTGATTTGAAAACTACAAACGTACCCTTAGGAATTGCCCACCCAGATCAAACATATTCATTCCAGCAATGGCTTCATTCATTGCTGCAGCGTTGTTGAATTCGATGTATCCAAAACCACTAAACAAATGCTATGAATACTTAAACACCAAAAAGACAGCATATATTACGGGGAATCTAGACAGGCCATAGAACCACGACTTGCATGCTTATAAGAACAAAGAGTGGCAACAGGGTGTTCTAAAAACAAACATTCATATAAAGCTGAGCCAATGTTGGGAAACCACGAACCGATGACTTCCTTTTCCAGTTGCACTCTGTCTAGCCAGTTGACATTTGACCACTTCCCCGAATGCCTCGAACACACTCTTCAAATCGCTCTCCGACAGATCGGGATGTACTGAAGACACGTAAACTCTGTAATTGCAAACAAGTCATTGTTTGTTCGTTATGATCTTGATTTTAGAATAGAATATTATGCAAACACTGGTTGACTCTACTAGTTAAAACATTGTAGCTGATAGCGATAGTCTTCCACTGACATGCCGCTTTACTTTAACAGCTTCTGTAAAATAAAGAGCGGTAAAGGTATTTTTGAGCACATCGCATTGAAATCAAACATCGCTCGGAACAAAACATGTTGTTCTAATTGCACTATATGGCGGATGTGTCTATCGGAACAGAGTCTGCGTAACATAGAGTTTCCCAAAAATAGAAAAGGGGCTATAGTAATTTAACACAGATGACGCCGCTAGGAAGACGAATACGAAAACGTAACACCTAAAAACACATCAATAAGAAGTATCTAAACTAGACCGTTATAGAAGTGTCAACTGAAACTATTTAAAGAAAAGATCTTACCTGTGATATTTTTTTGCGTCTTGTTGAACCATCTCAATGATTGGCTGGGCTTGCGGCATGTTAGAGGGACGACCAACCTGAAAGTTTCTTTCACATATTTAAATTAAAATTAGGAGTGGAGACAAGAGCACACCACAGCACAATAAAAATGCGCACTAAAAGAGTTGCAAGAAGGTGCAAGAAGGATATACACTCTCAATTTTCTTTCACCACTACTACAAGCCTATTTCTCTCACTAAACACTTTTGGTCCTTTCAGCCCGATCATCTGCATAATGAACTAGTTTCTTAAGCAAAACGTCTTTCAAAAAGCCCATCCCCTCAATCACTGGGTTCTGTGCAAATAAAAAAAAAACTATACTTTTAAATTTCTTCCACCCATCAGTTGACCATTCATCGATTCTTGAGCGAGAAGAGCGGCCTCAGGGACGTCAAATTCCAAGAATGCGAACCCTTTGTGGTGCTGCAAAAGTGACACTGTTCGAACAGCAAATCAGAGCTGGCGAGTGAGAACAGCAAGAAACAAGAAAATAAAAGCTAAACCTACCCCTGTGGTAGGATCCCAACTCATGTTGATACTCTTAATCGGCCCATACACTTCGAAGGCTTTCTTGATCATTTCCTCTCTCACTTCGAACGAAATCGATCCAATGTAAACCCGGGCCATGAGAGATAATGCTTGCGCATACATTGCTTGTTTTTGTTGCTGAAATTCGGAATATGAAAAATGAAGGAGCCAAATTTGAAAACTAGTTATTACGTTTTCATGATGGGCCTTCTGCTGCCTGAGCATAATCTGTTTGATTGACAAGTCCATAGCATATCTTTTTGCAAGCTGTAGGTCATCCTTCCTTCTGGAGCTCAATTTTGTAAGACCCAAGCCCAACAACTGTGCTTCTCTTTTCGATCCCGGGCCAACAAATACCTGAACAGTGAAGACATTATGAAAATCAAAGCGAAATCGATGGCAGAACTCAGTGTTTTGCAACTTACATCACCATGTTGCTGGAGAACCGGCATTGCTACCAACACTTCAGCATGTGCAGCAGGTTTAGCAGGTGTAGCAGCAGTGGCAGGAGAAGCAGAAGCGGCAGCAGTAGGGGTAGCAGCACTAGAGGTATCTATGGCAGCAGGAGCCTCAGAAGCGACGGGATCAGCAGCCGCTGGGGCTGGCGTAGGTGCTGCAGCGGGCTCGTTAGTTGTTTCCTGTGTTGCAGGTGGCAATTCAACAGAAAACTCGACCGCGTGATCATGACTGTCGCCTTAAATAATCTTTTAGGCTTTCGTAAAATAGAACACTCCAATAGACGTCATTAAACACAAACCATTTTCTTGAGACTGGGCTGGTGATGATGAATCAACTTCCATTTCAGCCATAATATTCTGAAAAAAAAAACAACATCAATGAAAGTAAACTACTACGCCAACCCAGTAAACAAACAATAAAACCTTTGTTGAATACGTTTACATAACAAAACTACTTTCCTCACTACGATAGTGCTAATGGAACTTGAACATGAACAAAAATAGTCCGTAGACCCCACAACGTGGGGTATACTATACAACGAAACATGCATTCAAGTGGACAGTATGACCATAAACACTTGATAAATTCAGTTGAAAACACAATATCGAACAAGGGTAAACAGAAGCAGTAAGTGGTTGAACACGCCGCGAGCAAAACCTTCACGCAGGCCGGAAAATTGTGAGCACTCTCAGTTTCATGACAACTCGTCCGCATTGCTTTCACGGCACACCCACCCAATTGACGGCGGCGGAGCGTCACTTCATACTATGTGCCACTAAATTAACTCACTTGCAGGATAACTGTACTTAGATGCCCCTTAAAGATATGTATCTGCTAGTTGCAATCAAAAACTACCAACATGGTGTCAGTCTCATTTTTTTTTTCATGAAAGTTAATAACAAGAACGAGTCATTATACAACGACTTCCTTTAAAGAACGAGAAAAACAAGCTAGGACTAGCCTTTAATGTCATTTTGCGAAATGACAGAACTTGGTGGCTTTCATCAACACCGTTGTAGCAATTGGACGACCTTCCCTTCAATTCCNAGGTGGGTCGCCCAGAATGCCTTCGTACACTGGTTCTACGTAAGCAGAAACTTATAGGCAAATTACAAGGAGTACCAGCGGAGGTGGGATTTGTTCAGTCACTCCAGAGAAAACAATCCGGACTCATTGGCACAAAACTCACAAGCCTTCAAGTCTCATTGTGTTGCTTCTACAAAAAGAAAATCTTGCTGCGATAACTCACTGTATGGCATTTCATTCCTTACATTTGACGACATAATCAAAATAACATTTACAGAGCAACGAGGAAGTTGATGGATTGGAATCCGAGTATCATTTATATAGCCAGCAGAAACAAAAACTTCTTCATTGAGTACAACAACAAATAAAATACAATGTTGATTTTGATAAAATCGTTAGCAACAAAGAAAACAAGGTAACAAATGGCAACGAATACTTAGATAGACATATTAAATCTACTAATTTAAGGTTGGTGATATTTATAATCATAACTATTATAACGGCTACACCGGTGCTTTTATATATACGCTAAAAGGATCAATCATAACATTAGATACTGCTACCATTCTACTCAAAGGACATAGAAATGATCCTTTAAGGCCCATATTTCATGAGAAACATGGAAGACTTGCATATAGGAAGAACTTTATGGCAAATGTAATTTTTCACATAGAAAAACTTGATATTTACTGCCACGGAGTTACAAATGGGACCCAATACGACGTTCCTTCAAGAATCGTTCAACTAGGGCAGTGAATATAGAAAATTTAGCTTATAGCATGCTTGGGTACGAACACATTTGAATGAGTTGTAATTGAATGGAAATTGCTACAATGGGAGTAGCTCTTGCATTACAAAAAATTGAAATCATTTTACCTCGTGTTCATTGGAATACAAGGTTCATTAGGACGAGAAGGAGGGTTGAATATTAGTAGAACCCCCATGCTCCAAAAAGAGGAGTAGCGCTACCCTTGACCACGACACTGAGCATGACCTAATACGGTTATATAGCAGGAATATAGCGAATACAAACCCAGGATAGGAGTGGAAAGAAGATCAACTGCAACATGTTTGTGAAAAGGTAAATTACGATAAAAGCAAATAACTTTTGATATGAGTCAGAAATCCTCGTGTTAAGCCACACAAGCACATTCACGCTTACACATCATTCACGGAACAGAATCGAAGGGATCGACAGTCGTTCGATTCTGTTCCGTGAATGTGTGCGATCAGAGTTCAGAATCTCTCTTAGACTTAGATCAGAGTTCTTCCTATGCAAGTGTATGATCATTCGGTACACCCGACGTCCTAGTGTTCATATATTCCACAGTCAACAAGGCAGTCTACGCGTTCACACGTATATTACAAAGGCTTGTATTATTATACGAAAGACGCTGTGCAAGAAACCCGAAGTCTATAGAAGATCCAGACTCCGAAGATGCTTCAGAGTTCGTGCAAATACTGCAAAGGCTTTCTTTAGTGTGATAGAATACAGAATACACAGTCGCTTTTGGCTATTTCATAAAACCCAAACTTACAGGTGGGCAGCGTAGGTATTGCGCCCGCGTTCGGCATAGCGATTCGCAACATACAGAGGAGTTGGAAGAGAGGTAGGGAGATTAACAATCTGATGATCGTAAGTCAGCACGTATGTCATTCCTTCAAGTTCGTCCATAGAGAGATTGAGATCGTCAACAAGTACGGTATATCGTGGTGTGCGCGCAGATCCCTAAAGTATCGCTTTTGGCTCTTTCATATAACTCCAAGTGAAGTAAAGTGAGAAAGCGATTACATTATGAAGTAGGTATACCTGTAATGTAATGTGAGAATTGAGATAGAATTCCTTGAATGATGGGTGGGTGAGGCCCTCATCAACAACAACACCCGGAGGAATATTTTGTTCAGTAGGCCTGCGGGTGCGATCAATCTGAAATGGTTAATTCATAACAATTCATTTCTGAACCAATTTAGCTGTTACAGCCGATGAAACGAAGACAAAACTCTGACAAAAGCCTCACACGTTCCAACATTAGCCGAACATTATGTTCCTTTTGAGCAACTATAAATACAATTTTTACATTCTTCGCTCCTAATGCAGCTAGGGCTCCTCGAAGAAGTGGAATTTCGTGAGTGAGTATCTACAAAGAATTCGTCAACCAGTTCACAAAATACGAAAGGCGTTGAAATCCAAACCGTGCTGAATGATCCTTCGGAGAGACCACTTCTATAAATTATGAGATCCCTTGGAAATTTATTACCATGGTTTTGGGCGAATTTCGGCAAAACATTTCTTATAATATCTGACATGGTATTAACGGTCTAAAAAATAATCAAACAGCTTGTAAGCAGATCTGGATTTATATTCACTGTCAGTGAACCTACTTCTTCCCTCCTAGAACTCTGGAAAAGGTAATCGCCAACAAAATCATAACTGTTAGCTTTGAAGTTTGCAGCGTACTGAAAATAAAGCAGCAATTGACAAAACAAATATGCATTCTATCCTGCTTGGATTCTACGCACCCCAACAACTGAAGGCACTGATCTCTCGTCGAAATTTTGCGATGGTGGTGGATGACTCACACCTATTCCCAAAAAAAGACGTCCAAGCCGTATCCAATTTCTGAAACAGCCGATTCGGTAACCTGTTCAGTCTTAGGAAAAGCAAAGATCTAGGAGAAAAACTTGCCAAAGAAAAATGTTTACTGAAAGCTAAGCATAAAAGCCCAAGATGGTTTTCCCATTTGTGGACCAGCTCACCACTAAAACTCACTTAATTTCCTCACTAGGCATTTGCCCGTTCATATCGATCTCATAATTCAAGCCTCCTAGTTTCAAATTAGCTTTGAGTAGGATATTTTCCATTGTAACCATGCGTCTGTCGTGGACCACCTAAGTACTCCTTTGCATTAGAATACACAGAAAAATACAAACATGGAATGAATTACCTTTTCCACATTAGAGAGCTTCGCATCTTGGGTAACCATCTCTAGCTCTCTTTCCCAAAGTTTGATCTTTTCTAGAAAGCACTTATTAGCTAATTTAGATGGTTGTTCTCTTTCAATTATATTTTCTTGCATTTAGTAAAAATTATTGTTGTTACATATATGGTTGTTGATAATAAAAGATCAAAAATCTTTAAACGAATAAGTTTCGACAGCTATACAGTGGTTGGGTATTATATTCTTGATGAATGAGAAAGCAAGTGGAAAATCGCCATGATTCTGAGAAGTCATCGATACGGGAAGGTGGTATGGAAAGCAGAAGGGTGGCAAAAAAGTTGTTTCCTGTAAGCTACGTCGCTAATGAGAACCACTTTTTTTTTGCATGGCTAAGCCGTCGCCACTTGTGAACTAACGGTTAAAAACATCCCTCTGTTCATGATCTGAATATGGCCTGCCCAGCCTTTCTTAATCCAGGATTCATCTAGATCAAGTGAAGTGCTGAGTACTACGGAGACCGAAGTCTCCAAGTTGTCATGGCAAAAAAGAAGGCCTAATAAACACTGCTGCGATCCTAAACGAAGCGAACTTGTGCAGCACTTTGAAGAAACCAAAAGGACGTTTTTCATTGATAATGGCCCGCATCACTTGACAAACTGGAAGCTTTCATTGTCGGCACACCAGTGGCCATCTGGGACATAGGTAGAAGTATTGTTAACCAATTTCGTTCGTAAAATGGTGCAAAAGAATGATTTGCTAATTCGTCTCTGGAAAGCCCTCGAAAGCACGCCTTCCTTATTGTTAGATTCCTTAAATTACGATATAATTTTACACAGAGCTAATTGTAAGACTACGACTAACACCGTTGTTTATCATTCTTCACACTTACAACAAACATTAAGAAAAACAAACTATGCGCAGTTGTTATGCTGTCCGCAGAGACAATGAGACAGTACTTGCAATTATGCTTTGCAGCCTCCTTCAAGCGAGCTTTCAACTCATCCTCGCCTTCAGTCACCTGAAATTCCTCCACGCAAATTCAGAAACAGGAAGTAGCCTTTTGTAAAGAAGATCAGAACAGCAAGCGGGGCAACGCAATTTCGTATTAGAAGGCATGAGGCTATAAAAAANAAAAAAGATCAAATGGGCTACAGAATGTCAAAACTCCTTTCCCGTATTCAAGATACTTGAATGTGTGAATCAATGTCTTTTCCATAAGAATGGGATTACATCGATGTTTACAAACAATTCCTAGCAATTAGAGAGATTAAAAAGGAAGCGACAGATGAAGGGTTGGGAAAGGGATGTTTGAGACTTCTGAGGCTACTATCGAGGCTACCATATGGATCTTACCTCTATTTCAGAGGGGTGTGGTAGCCGTATTCCACGATTAGACGCCTCCTTGAAGAACATCTCTGCGAACCTACTAAATTTTGGAAAGAACTCTGGATGGACTCAGCATAAAATCTGCTGGCAGACTCACACAATCAGTTGGTGAATACTTGACTTGTTCTGATTAGCTATCAAGGCATAGACAGCCCATACCTCGCATTCGGCTGGTATCAGGAGGTGCCCACGGGGAGTTCTGAGTATAATTTTGGAAAAAAATACAGTCATGTTCTGAAAGAATCGAAAAAGGCACCTCCATTTCCCGTCTCTCACAGTAGCTGTGTCATCGCGATACTTCAATTTAGGAGGAGGTAGAAGCCTTCCAGTGACCTGAGACAGCACTTTGTAAGATTGTTAGACACGAAGTTACTGCACTTCAAGGTCGATACCTTTATGGGATCCTTATAGATATACAACCCTGCATTCGAAACGAAAGGATTGTCGTCGGACCCAAGCAGCTTCAAAGCTCGTGCCCCTCGAGCTATATTGTCCTGTCGTTCACCAGGTGGGACGGCACAGCTCTAGGATGGAATTGAGGAACGTAAACTACGGAGGAATAAAGGCAAACAAGAGCCAATCACCCTAGTCGCTTTTTGACTCTGGTCTGGCGTCTGCTGTGGAATAGTGACCCTTTGCATCGGTCTAAGAAAGCCCAGTTCCATGGGATAGTTGTTTGAACGACCTCGCTCACGAACTTTCACAAGGGGTGCATGAGGATACCGGAAATTTCAACAGTTAAACACCGATTGATGTAGCGACAACTAGTCACGAAAAACAGAAAGGAAGCCATATCAACTCACAATAGCCTTATTTTATACTTTTCCTCAAAATAATCACGCACTGAAATCCTTCGTCCATCGCGGTCCTCGAATCTGTAAAGAAATTCATTGACTCGTACATCAGAAATGTTAATGAGATAGCCTCACAAGGACAGGTGGGAAACCAAGTCGAAACAAATAGGCAGCAGAGCAGAGTCAGTTCTGATTTTCGCTCCTCAACCAGTATTTTAGCTGTACCCGCAAACTCATTAATATCAAAAAAGAGCCACTCTCAAACATCAAATCCTTTAATTCCACTTTTCGTAGAGGCTACTATTTCAAAATAACCACAATACAGCGTCTCACCTTCTGATTTCACACTTAGAATCCTACAAAAGAAATTAGTCGAGGAAGCCTTCCTACATTTTGATAAAGTTTCATGTTATAAGGAGATGAAAGAAGAGACAAAACTCTAAGAAAAGCAGATTAGCTGAAAAAAATCACGTGGTATCATCAGCAGTGTGCTGAACTATTCCAGCAATCTGGTGATCACATTCGTAACCCAGGTGCTTTGTGTAGAAGTAGAGACCTAAAATTCCCTTGATAACACTATCAAATTGTTCACAAAATTTAGGGTCAACAACCGGACAATTAGTTTTGTTCACGGACTATCACAAAGCTAATCGTGGAGGTATGTAATACGCAGTAAGACACTTCCGGACACTTCCTCTTTCAGCATTAACTAAATCAGTCACTTGGATGATAAAAGCTGGTCTTTGATAGGATATTCCTCGATTACGTAAGGGCGTAGACGGAGAACTATGAATTTCTATAATTCTATACTTCAAACAAGCATAACGGTAAAACTTTTGATATTCTACTATCAAAGTGGCTGGCAATGAACGGATAAGTAATTCCCAGAAGAATCGCCGTGTTCAATAGAAACAATAACCTTCAACGAGGCTAACCTTTCATCCCAGCATTCAGTCGCTCGAGTCCTATTTCTGTCACCCTCTCCAGCAGATTGTCATTGAGAATATGTTTTGCCTTTTCAATCAAGGGTAGTTCTTCGTGGAATGCCGCCTTTTTTGCTAAAAAAANAAAAAAAGTGATCTGTGTACTATGAATGGAAGATTAGTACCTTCATTAATAGACTAGTTGCTAGACTTGTAAGTTTGCTTTAAGACGAACACAATCTTATGAGAAACAACCTTTGATGCTATTGCATGACTGAAATGTACTGCGGTGGGCATGATAATTTAAGCAAGCATATGGTTGAAACATAAGGCAAAAACGAAAGTGAAGATGACTGGGGCCTACTACAGTGTTAGCTCACTTTTGCGTGGTAATCGACAACGAAAAACAACTTCATATGGCAAATTACGAATTCGCTATGTGGCCGTGAATGCTTCAATTGCAAGAAAAAGATGAGGGGGATGGAGAGTGCACACTAAAACTCAAAGCGTGAGAGATTATATAAAGTAGAACAATAGACTAACAAGACAAGAAACGCAGAATGAGAGGCTTCAAATGTTAGAATCAAACGAACCGTCAATGATGAGAGCAGGGTTATTGTAATTACGTCCACCTGGCCCCTCGATAAACCGGACACTCTTCTGTGTACCAGGGAAGAGTCTTTTCCCACCACCAACGCTTGGACAATCTTGCTGATGGAAGCCGAAATTCCATGGATGGCTCATGAATACCTTTCCATTCTCAAACACAGCATGCTCTTGCCTGCAACTGAACTGTTTACTATAGGCTTAAAAAATCTTTCCATGTCGACACTGACGGATTCGTGATAGCCATTTGATTAAAGACAAGTTCCATGAATTGTGTAATAGAACGGTCATTTTGGGAGAGATCTGAATTGGCTGTCCTCGTCAATAACTCTTTCTCTGTCAGCGACATCTGAAAGCAATAGAAAACATTAGTGATGCGTATGAGAAAGAAAACGACATTATTAAGAGGCTCTTCCGTGATTATGAACAGATTACGTGAATTCAATAGTACTCACGCAGTAGTCCTCCTTGACAGGAGCGATATCAAAGGTAATGGTTTCTATTACAGACAGCGACTGATGCTTGCAATCCTTTCCAGAAATGTGAAACTTTAAGGAGCTCTAGAAGATCGATGAAGTAATTGATCATAATTTGAAAATAGTTTCCTTTGCATATTAGCAGAAAATTGGGTGAGAGCAGTGCACCCTAGGATATGGCTCTTTAAAAACCACAGTAGCCTGCCTGATGAGGAGCCTTTCGAATTGCAAATCGATTCTCCTAACAACAACAAGTTCGATCAAACTCGGATTTTATTCGTGATACCTTTTGCCGACTACCAGGTGGTTTGAAAGAGACGCGTTTCTGCGACGGAACTTGATACTAGCGGAAAACGCACAATTAAGAACGATCGGGTGCACGTCCTCAGACGTAGTCAGACAGAGGAAAACTAATTCCACAAGCGAATAAGCGAGAGATGTTAAATATTTATAGAGATGATAAAATTCAGAGCACGCACCTTGGCACGATTTTTGAACAGATCTTTTCCTGAGAACAAGATACTCTGTCCATCATACCACAACTGGTCGGGATCGTCGAAAAAATCTGAGTACAACCTGACAACGGCATCGAAAACCAGCTTACACTTGTAGTTTCGATTCATTATGATGTAGCTGAAAATGTGCACATCTGAAGGTATCACAATAGGACCTAAACCTATACTGAAGAAACGAAACTTCACTCACGAATATTCTTCAATGAAAGAATAAAAACAACAACGTACTCGTCTCGTCCTTTCTTCGTGAAAAAGACGGGCCTCTTTGCGGATCCAATCTCTGCAGAGATTACGACATCATATCGCCAAAAAGCCATCGGCTTCTCCAGCTGCACGCCAAATGCATTAGTTTGAACAACATAGCGTGACCCTAATACACCAGGTGGTGCGTTTTTGGCCATAATAGGTGCTTCCGGTTCCAGCTGAAATTGATTCACATATATGAACTGTCTAGCGATAGCGCAAAACATCATTATTGGCCACAAGCTGGAAATACATCCTAAAAAAACGCGCTCCTCCAATCATTAATGAACAAGCGGAGCCGAGCACCCTCTACGACACAAGCATGGAACAGCAAAGAACAAAGGCACCACAACAGCACGACTGCATTAGAGGTACATGCATTGAACCTGTTGCCATTTGAGTTCCATTATTATTGTAGATGGAAACTAGTAGACAAAAAATGTAAAGGAAAACTAACATGAAAAGCTTCCAATTTGGCTTGCGCCTCAGTCAACATATCCTTTTTCGACATACCTGAAAAAGAGATGATCGAAGACGAAATGGGTATAAAAAGTCACAGTAACACACACCTGTCTTTCTCGCATCTCCACCTCCTCCAGGAGCTGCCATATTGGCAAGGAACTAATAACCGGACACTGGGCAAAATTCTAAATGTCTGTAATTATGAAGGGTTGCAATTGTGATAGGGATGGAGTAGCACGTGGCAAGACAAAATGGAGAGAATTTTCACCAAGTTCGCGCTTACCAAGCAGACTTGCTTCTAGCGTGACATCGCTATGAAAGGTTTACCATTTCCGACAATGATGCAATCGTAACTGAATGTAACTATCGCGCAAAAAAAAATCAGAGAGCTGTGTTGAGTGATCTCTTGTGAGACGCTACGCGAAAGGACACTTTTAGAGCAGATTAGGGAGACGGGCAGTAGGGTCGGTTTTGTGTAATCGATTTGCCGCACGCGGCTATCGCGGACCATTCGCTCCGCCGCTATTACAGCTCTGGTGTTCTTCATACAGCTCGATTGAAATACTATCATTAACTTAAGCATGATTCTACTTCTACTTCTTTTGTCCCTGTACTTCTTATTCGCTGCACCGCTTCTGCTTAATACTGCTACGTTCCTTTGCGCGCGACGTCGCTCTCGTCGCGTAGCGACCATTCCGATCCTTCTGCACAACACCCAAGATTAGGAGATCAGGCTTATGTCCGTACTCAGGAAAGCTCGGAGTTCGAAAGCTGCCGGGCACTCTGCAGATTTGCCAAAAATGGTGTCGACAGCAGGATCAGGCCCAGGACATTCTTGGCAGAACCTCCGCTGGATAGACAGGTCACAACAAATATGTATAAGGTCCTAAAGGTAATCAGTGATAGGGTTAGGACGTCGTCCGGAGTGGCTCGGAGGACTCTGCGCGAGTTCTGAGGACGGTACACGAGGACTATCGAGGAGTGGAGCGATTCCAAAAGCCAGAACTCGGAGCCAAATGTCAAGTGAAACTGGAACAGGAAAGCGATCAAAAAGGCCGCTTTCGCTGCAATTGGAAGGGTGGAAGAGCGCCATAAGGATCGGTTGTGTTGATTTCCATATCGCACCTTAGAGATGCAGTAACTACTCCAGCGTTAACCTTCACAAAGCTGGAAGAAATCCTACACAACAACAAGGAAAATGAGCCTACTGTCAGGAGTGCCACTCTTTCAAAAATACGTCATTGGCGCACAACGTCCGCGAGGTGCAGAAAGAGCTTTATAGGTGACGGTACAATCAAGTGCATTCGTTTGACGGTCTAGTACTAGCTGAGCTGTGTTCATACTTCCGCCCTACATTAAAAGCTAATAGGCGTCGATCAGTCGATATCCACGGATAGGTGGTTGCTGATGCATTAACTAGTTTTTAATGCCTAGAATAGCCTGTTTTTTCAGCGCCGCCCATCAGCTTTCATTGAAAAGCGCAGACTAAAATGTAGCCGGTGAAGCTCGTCCCCAGCATAGCAAAGCATAGGATGGAAGTTCTGGTGCTCTGGTGAATGTAACTTCGTGTCCTCGAGGAGCCTGTGATGCTTTTGCACCCGAGAAGCGATAATAAGCTTCACATCGAATAAATGTTGGGAGTCAAATATCTGCAAAGTGTTGTCCATAGGGAAAAAGCGATTGTACGAGAGGAATGTTATGAAAGGGATATTGGGACGAGCTGTCAGGTGTGCGTCATTGCGAAGAGCTGGCTGCCGTAGCAAGAGATGTCCGAAGTGCCTTCCTCTGTCACCACAGTTCATGACCATTTGTTTGAACCTCTTGGGGTCTTTGAAACACCACTAGCTTTGGGTGGTTGTGGCATACAGTGGGTACAGTATTCGAGCACCTACAACGCAATATCTAGGCCGTTTTTCGGCTGACAAGTAACAGGGAACACTAATTCATCCTAGGGGATATCTCGTAAACAATTTTATCGTGCTCTGCCTGGAACACATTGCCGCACCGTTAGATGATTGAGTTTGGAGCGCGGTGCATCGACGTTACAGTAGTCTGGCACATTGGTAGTGGACATCTTTCTACTACTAACTACACATCCATTTTCGTCCTATTCTGTTTCTACTCTGCTTCTACTTCCAGCATATCCGTGGCGAGTCAGTCGCGGCAACATATAGTGCTGCGAATCACTCGCCACGGAACACGGCAAGCGAATCACTATGCAGGTCTTCCTCTCAAGCTTTGCGCCTGTAATTGTGACGTCACCTTAGTGGGTTTAACTGGGAAGACTAAGTAACTTCATCTCTAACTTCGAAACTTTCTTTCGTTCAATTCTTCCGTTCATCTGCAAGCGCTAACAGGAACGAAATTTCACTAAAGAAATCTGGTTGTTACAGTAAATCGACAGTGGTTCTGATCCAAACGCCTGGTTGTAATGCAGCGCACCAAAGTCATTGGCCTTTTCAGATGTGCTTAAGTGAAGGGTAAGGATGTTTGTACTAAGATTTGGTTATGCCGTGGAATGGAATAAGTTCTCAGTGATTGAATATTTTCATCTTACCTACCCCAAGGTCACTGTAAGAACCACATCCCGTACTAGCATACTGCCACATCGACACTCTACAGGGATGCATTCGAATGTCCGTAGCCTAAAAATAATCAAAATTGCAGATCTTTACAGTGGCTAGACGCCTCGCCGAAAGCTACATTTCTACCAGTTATTACTGAAGAAGTAGTAGAGAAAAAGGTACGGCTCGATGCCAGGTGGAAGCCACCACTTCTTAATATTTTTGAGCCCAACCCTTCTCCATTTTACTTGCTTTCAGCATTTTCAAAAAAAAAAATTATAGTACCATGAGTGAACTAATACGTTAGATTACTTGTGAAACGGTGCGTAAATGAGCTGCCACTGCAGATGTAAGGTGAGCACAAAATGAAAATATTATGTTAAGCGGGAGTATTACATAAGAAATCAAATGTTTGTGAAAAGGACAGCAACAGTTCGACCATCTGAACTGTGTGGAGGAAAAGTCACTCCGCCAAAGGCGAAGCACAGCAGCTCTGGCGCGTAAATGATGGATCGATACCGGGCCGTGCGTTCTACAGAAGGTGCCGGAACCGAGGAGCGGTGGAACGCTCTGATGTCCCAAGGACCTCATTCTCAGGAACACGTTGGTGGATACCTCAGGACGGATCGCTCAAACCAGTCAGCGACAACAGTCGTAAATCCAATCAAACAAGTTCTCAAGTGAATCCAAAACTCTATTTCAATCCGACGATCAAGGATCAGAGAAGCTGTCGTGTTTGGCATGGTGCCACGGATCAAGAATACTCGGTGGGATCGGTAGTGGCCAAAGCAAACCAAAGCAGACCGGACTCGTGAAGCGCGTAGCCAATACGTTCGCGTGGGGCCAAACCAACACCTGGGGGAACGGCCAGCACTACTTCAGACAACTTCTTCATCAGATACTGTGACCAACGACATGAAATGCTCCCATCTTGTTCTTCGCACATGGAAAACTCAACGGATTACTTTGGTGAGGTGGTGGAACGAATGGACAAATAGCGATTCCTACGTCGGCAACGAGATGAGTAGCAAGCAAGTGACATAGCTCGTGTCAGCTGCTTCATGTGTGCTGATAAACAGTTTTTCCATGCATTAAAACAAAACTTTACCAAGTAAGCGAGAAATCGTTGTGGGACGAACGGAAATGGAACGTCTGGGGAACGTCCGTTGCGAAAGACTACGAGGAAGAGATTTTGGCGCCACGTTCGAACGAAGCCCAATCAATAAGGATCATCGATGATCTTATTGGGAAGGTTCCTTATGTAGAGATTCGATCACTGCATCTTCTGAGCAGGTAAAGTTGTGGGTTTTGAGGGGTACAAAGAGTTTTTATATGTTACCCATAAGGGTGTGGAATAGAACCCGGGCATATTCATTTGATAGGTTCGCCATGGCACTGTAAGCCGAGGCTATGACGTGATGAGAACGTTGAAGGCAAGCGATGGTGGCTGCCGACTAATGCCATTTAGGACCTAATCTGATTTCGAGCTCTTCCAGCAGCACCTCTTCTAAAGGTCATATGGAGCGGATGGTAATACCGTAATCAACCACAACATTACAGCATGAGCCTTCCCAGCTTGCTCGCGTAGAAGTGGTTGAGTCACATACTGCATGAAGAGATTGATTCAAAATTAATTTTGACCGGGAACAAAATACAAACGGATGGGAAACGAGAGGACCGCCAGACAGAAGAAGCGCTGGAAAATGGGTAGCCAGACCGAGGAGCGGCCCGATGTGGACGTTAAGCAGTAGTCATCGATCGATTTTTCAAACAAAAAATAAATCATTGAGAATGGGAAGGAAGGACTGAGTCTATACGAATCCTAGATGAAATAGTAGTAGCTGAGATATCTCTGAGTAAAGCCAAGTTGAAAACAACATGAAAGCGGGAGGAAGCCTAAAACTAAGTAGCCATGGGTAAGCTTGGTTGTGGAACACAAGCAGTACAATTAGCGCCAGACTGATAACAAGAGAATAATTGTGATGGTGCCTTTGTTAAGAAATGACCGAAATTCATGTCGGAGTTAGTCTTCCGGAAATTTGACGGCTGTAGCGGTTCCACACATCGCTGACCCAGCTGTGCTCTTTCTATTACTTACTGTTAATAGCAAAAAACGGTAGAAGAGACTGGGTAAAAAAAATCGTGGGCAAACCAAGCTCAGCTGCCTTGTGTAATGTTTGGGTACGGTCAGATCGTTCCACCGCTGCCTCCAAGATAAGAAGCGCGGCTGGGTCGAGGGTGTGGGAACGTCTCGATGCCAGGCTTTCAAGCAAGACGGCGAAGCAACATCCTTACGTCTTCGTTTTTCACAACATTGAAGACAAAGGGGCGAGAATTGGACCTCTCCATGAAGAAAACACTTGCGAAAATTTGTTGGATCGAATCTCACCGCCATCTCGACTTTTCGTATGCACTCAAGAAGCTAAGGCAGGAAACCAAGATACAGAGCCACGAATAAGATGGTCACCAAGAAGTGTCTCAAAACGAATCGTCGCGAAATTACAGCTTTCATCTTCGTATTCCTCTAGAATGAGGAACTCCTTCACTGAAGATGACAGAACAGCGCCTGCGTTGATATGGACACGTGCTGAGGTTATGAGATCGCAGGATAACTTCAACATTGGACTTTGAGGTCTAGGGAAAGCGATCACTAAGAGTCTCAAAGAAAAAATAAAGGGATATAAATCAGTGATTCAGAAAATCCCATCGAATTTAAGGAGACGGCAGTAGGTAGGAAATAGGAAGTGTGCAAGGAGCAGAGCTGACTTACGGATCCAGTTATGCACGTGCGACCTCGGAATCCCGGAGCCGTGGGGTTGGAAGGAAGAACGACGAATTCTCTCCATCCTCAGTTCCTGTGAAAATGAATGTTTACAGTTTGCTTGGGTGGGTTCCCTGCATTCCTTCTAGAACACATAGGATTGATAGACAATTAATTATTGTTCTGGAGCCTATCGGCACTGTGGACAGGGCGGGGCAGTACAGGTCCCTTTTGGGACTTTGTAGGAAACATGCCAAACTAAATAGAAATGTGAACACGAAACTTGCTTTTTCAAATTCTTCTCGCATCTGGCGCTTATGCAGAACTCAATGAGACAGTCTCAATGTTGTCCAGCGGCTATACAAAGACACGCGTTCAATGGTCCCCTGATTCACCACTTTTTGTTTACAGTCGTGATCAAAGGTTGCAACGCCGCTTAGAGAGGCTCTTTCAAACAGGCTAGCATGTGGGACAGCTCCTTATGGTCATTACTTGGTCGGTCTTCTGGGAATTTCACCTCATGATTTAGAAGCATAGTTTCCGAATTCGTATGGACTTGCGTCTGGAGTGAGCCACGTATGCGACTTCTGCTCCTATCCGCCTATTTCTTGTGAAGGACACTCAGCATACATATATGCCATGCCCCTATAATGGGGTGACGTATTCGGTCCTAAATTCTCCTGAAACGCCAAGTACCAACTACTCGTCGTCTATGGTGGATTAAATAGTTGGCTTTTGTGATATTATGGGGCCATTCATTCAAGTAGAAGATCTATCCTCATTTCTTAGCCCTTCACTCCTAAGTTAAATGCACATACACAGAGATACAGTATATCCCGCCATGATATCGTTCCATGAGCTGTGTTATGGAAGCTTCTTCCTAAGACTATATCTCAGTGCTAAATCCAATCAGTAAACCTTGGCACGTCCGTTCAGTTAATTTGAACTCTCACTTTCATGTTAACACAAACTTCAAGCGTAAAAGTTTTATTTGACATCAAGAAGTGGGTGTTGCGTAGACGAAAAATGGAAAAGTTTGAAGAAAATCATTGGCGCAAACACTTGTCCTCGTCTCCTTGAATGATGACGAATACATAGATCATCAAAAAGAGAAGGAACGTTACCGGATACATCACCTGCAAAATTTTGATTAAGGGTTTAGATCTATTGAGATCAAAAATTGGAATCTTGAGCTTTTGCAATAAAGGTGGTTGCGTGAATCAGATGCACTTCGACGCTTCCCTCCCCTAAAGGACCCTTCAAACACCCTTCACATGTTTTTCTGAGCTTAAAGTTAGAAAGCAAAGTTTTACTCAGGACTTCACTTAGGTTACAGCTAGTATACTTCAATTTTTTGTCCCTATATTGGTAAAAAATTTCCCATACTAAGATCGAGTTCAGATGGCTGTAGGGAAATTTACGTCGTCTGCACTGAAATTGCTGAATTTCTTTTGTCCGTTTTGACTTACAGTCGATGACGCCCACTCCTTGATGGGCCGACGCTTTTCGCGCCATCTGCGCACTCCTCCCCAGTGGTTATTTCTGATTTTTTGGCCCTTGTGTCGATTTCGCTAAGGCGAATCCCTTCCCCAAGCCCATCGAGGTTAGCAGTGATCATGATAGCGATCGATAGCGATCCACGTTCGCGGATAGTTGCTGTGAAGATCGAAAGAAAACCATTTTTGCGTTTTCAACCACAACTTGGACATGTACGAATAGGGGCCGTGGCACTGATTACCATTGTGATGTTCGTTTGGCAGTTGTCAATTTGAAAACAGTCAATCGGTGGTAAGCTCAGACTCTAGTTGGGTGGGGCTAAAAATTAAACCCACGACAGGAAGCTGGGGATGAAGTTTCTCGCGTCACTCAATCTGCTTCTTGAGATAGGTTCACGCATTTGATCTCTGTTCAATATCAGAGTGGTTGAAATCATTCTTGAATCTGTTATGTTGAGAGTTATTTATAAGATTCCTCTTCATTTTGAAAAACTTCCTACTGAAATTCAATTCCTTTAGAAGGCAACTTATCAACTCAACCATTTCCTCATTCGTATAAAAAGTTCAGGGGCGATACGAAGTGAAGAAATGTGAAGGTTGCGCCATGCATCCCCCGTTAACAGACATTAACATTCAAAGCTATTAGCTTTGTTTCTTCACTAAGCCAGTTGAAACCAAGCGTTGAGACCCAGAGATGATCTCCTGAAGAAGACGCAGAGACCACAAGCAATGGACAGAGCTTCGAGAGAACAAGTGTCGATTCAAGCAGTGACTTATTGGGGTTACTATAGAATGGAACAGCTGCCCATTGAAATGCACCTCTTTTGTCCATAGCTGTTCCTTCCTGAGCTGTACGAAGGCTTTTCATCACGGCAATTTTGGATAATCTCTTGGTTTAGGTATGACACCACCAGATTTTGATAAGACCCCTTACCCAAAAGGTTTTTGAGGTTTTCGCTCATGAGTTATCGAAAAGGGGACTACGCAGGTAAAGACTCACCTTGCAAAACTCGTCAAATTTCCTGCCTAATCGATGGAGGTATCGACTGCGTAACATCAACAGCATTATCTTATACTTACTGTATTCGTTCAGATTATCTTCACATTTTCGACGCTGCAACACAGAAATCATGACTCAGACAAAGGAAGGGGAAGATAGAGAAAACATTCCTCACAATTGATTTGCTTTGATGCTCTAGCGTGATAACCGCTAGCGCCTGAAGCATGGTGACAAAAACAAAAACTGATGTGAAACCGAACCAGATATCGATTGCCTAAATCGAAATTGCTTTGTTAAGAAAAAGATCAATCCCGAGCAACCCTGTCTTCGAGAGCCCAATACAAAAGGTACAGGCTGCCAATGAGGCGCTTAGTGGTAGCTCAGGCTCCTACAAGAGGAGAGAGTAACAGCTTTGAAAGAGCATGCCGCATACCTTTATGTAAGAGACCTTGGGTAGTTCCTCCTTGGCCGAATTGCTTTCAGCGCTGAGCGTGAGAAATACAGTCAGGGAAACGAAAATTCGTCCTGAAATAGGTTTTCATGAAGCATATGTCTTAGAGGGTTTCGGGTGAAGCAGTTCCGTTGTTGAGACGGGCATTCGTCTTCCACTAACAAAGAATCATAGTGGCTTTCTGAATGTGCCCGTACAATGAGTCGGGGTAACCATCCAATGTACAAACCAGTACATTTATTCGCAGAAACGAGAAAGGCATCAACCCACCGACCCCAAAAAGATGACGACTTTGGTTTGCCGCGTGATGTGGTTCGAGACCTCCCGAGCCCTGGGTTGTGACAGTATGCTACATGCCACTACACCGCTTCCAGCCCATAGCAATTCATATGTATTAGGCATAATATCATCTGATTATGGGATACTAAAGAAGCGAACCTCTTGGAGAAGGCTTTCTGCACTATTCGCTACTCGTCTGACCGTGCCAGGGCTAGAAAATTTATATCCGCTTGGTTTAGAGTTTATTTATATAATAATAGAACTTATCATCCAGTTCTCCCAGGCAGCCGCTCCCAAAGTTGTAGTTGAAGGGCTATACCCGGGTTATAGGTTGAAGTCAAATTTACGCTGATTCTTCTCCACTTCCCGATGAACCTGTTGAATCCATGTGTTTCTGCGGCACTTATGAAAACATCAACGAGTATGTAGCTTCGTGCCTCTTTCAGGGTCTACTGGGAAGCCCAGACTTCCATCACTAATGACTCATAACGCGGGGTATTATAGACCAGCAAGAAACACCTCCATGTAAACAAACCAAAACCTAACAAAGGCTTCGAAGTGAATCAAAAATAATATATGTAAAAAGTTAAGCAGCATGTTGGAATACCTTCAACGAACTCTTCAGGAAGCCAAACACTGATCCATGAGAATACGACACAAATCGTTGTCGGAATATAGGTCTGAGCCAAATGATAACCAAGCTCTCGATGCAAAAAGAATCGTGCTACCATGCAAGAGTAATTACCTAAGAGTAACATGAGACAGTTCGAAGACAGCAACAGCTAAAAAAGGAAGTACAATTGCAGCTTGAAAAGGTATTAGAAAGGTAGTTCTGTTGCTCTCTCATTGGTGCCATCCTGATGAGGAGACCACTACGATTGAGCGAGATTTCAGAGCCATTTTACCTGATTTGCGGGAACCGTCACAGGTCTCAGCCTTCACATCGATCAGGGACAGTTCCGGTATTTCAAGATCTCGGTTCAGTTGAATAGCGTCAGACGATTTGGAGAACCATTCGAATTCCACAGCATCGGAAGTGAATCCAACTGAAAATGACAGATTTAGAAGCAAGATAGATCGAAATATCTTCCATAGAGATCCTCCTGCTCATTTTACAGGCCGTATAGTATGCCAAGCTTCTTATCATGGCGTGAAATGAAAGTTCTTCGTTTCTAAGGCAAAGGTAAAGGGAGAAAATAAGAAAAAATAAGGAAGTGATTTTGAAAAATTCAAATCTTCGAGGATCAGGCTCTTTTGTAGGACTATTATCGAAATCCCTTCAGTTGTAGAGGGACGAAAGTGTGACACTCTTCTAAAAACTCTGCGTTTTCGTAAACTCACGCGAAGTGATCTTCAACGAGCATGCAGGATTATCGTGAGGATATTTACAGAGAATCACTTCGGCTGCTGTCGGTTTCAAATAAACCCGAAAATCTAAAAATACCTCTCCTCCAGGGAATATAAGCATGTAAAAATTGAGGTAGGTGACCTGAAACAACAAAGATCATCAGTTGCCCAATTCAGCTTAGAATTGAATAAACATTTCTTTCAAAGTCGATCATCACATAAACATTGGCTAAGTAAACTAAATAATGGCTC